ATGTTTGTTTTTTCTCTTCCCCACGTAAGAGTCATCTCCATAACAGGGACTTGTGTTTTGTTCCCTGCTGTGTCTTCAGTGCCTGAGACAGCACTTGACACATTATAAGTGTTTAATAAATACCCTGTTGAATGTTGGGATAATCAAATTAACGCAAATCTAGTGTGCTTGACTGAAGCTCAGCTTCTCTGTCATCAGGACTAAATGGGAAGAGAGTGTCTTGGGGTTTGCGGTGACTTTGTACGCCTTCCTACAGGTGAAGGTGCTAAAGGAGAAGATAGAAGCTGAAAAGGGTCGTGATGCCTTCCCTGTGGCTGGACAGAAACTTATCTATGCTGGGAAGATCCTGAGTGATGACGTCCCCATCAGGGACTATCGTATTGATGAGAAGAATTTTGTGGTTGTCATGGTGACCAAGGTAGGTAAAGTGTGCTGGTTATGAGGATTACACGGATTAGCTGGGGAGCTGGCAAGAGCCTGTATGCCCATGAGAGATTAGCCATGAACAGGGCGGGGTCAGGATGTAGCTGGATGTTGAAGCTTGATAGAGATACTGATGCCTGTTCTCTTTTTCTGGGTGTGACAGGCCAAAAACAGCTCAGGCACCTCAGTACCCCCAGAGGCCTCATCCACTGCTGCCCCTGAGTCTTCCACATCCTTCCTGCCAGCCCCTGCCTCAAGCATGTCCCATCCCCCACCTACCATCAGAGAGGACAGGAGTCCATCGGAGGAATCAGTCCCCACGATGTCCCCGGAGTCTGTGTCAGGGTAAGGCAAGGAGCTGCAGCCCCAGCTTGGGTGGTCTTGTCCTCCCAGAACATTCTAGTACCCACATAATGTGGTCTTACTCACCCGGGGAGGGGGGGCAGGCCGCCAGAAGCCAGGGTCCGATTTCTCTCTCTTGAATTTGCAGCTCTGTTCCTTCTTCAGGTAGCAGCGGGAGAGAGGATGACGCAGCCTCCACGCTAGGTGGGTGGGCGGTCCCTGAGGCAGAAGTGACTGGGTGTCCCAGCCATCAGCTGGGTCTTGTGTAGGTTTGGGAGGGTCTGGGAGCTTCCCTTCTCTCTCCCTGGTGACCCAGACCTTGCTGCTCCCTCCACAGTGACTGGCTCTGAATATGAGACGATGCTGACGGAGATCATGTCCATGGGCTATGAGCGGGAGCGGGTTGTGGCCGCCCTGAGAGCCAGCTACAACAACCCTCACCGAGCCGTGGAGTATCTACTCACGGTGAGGTGGGGGTGCTGCCTCCTGGGGAGGCTTCCACAGAGTAAATGGCCTTTAGTGCCTTGATGGGTGGACAGGGAGGCAAAACCTGCCCCCAAAAGCCTTTGGGTCATGGTTACAGCCAGTAAAGGCTTTTTATAGAAGGCTGGACATGAGCGGAGGGGTGGGCTTCACCTGTCTCCTGCCAGGGCTGAGCATGCAGGAGGGAGGCAGTGGGTGTACTGTGCATTAGAACTAAATAGGACCCCTGACAGGGAATTCCTGGGAGTCCGGAGCCAGAACAAGGTTCTGTCCAGGAGAGCCAGGTGTCTGAGCAATCGGCCACAGAACCAGGTGAGTGAGTTGGGAGGTGTGCATGTGGGGTGTCTGCTGTCAAGGCATCTGACTTCCCTCTCCCCAACTCCCATGTTTCTGGGAGCCCAGCTTGGGGTCTGACTACTTGCTTCCCTCCTGCCAGCGGGAGAGAACCCCTTGGAGTTCCTGCGGGACCAGCCCCAGTTCCAGAATATGCGGCAGGTGATTCAGCAGAACCCGGCACTGCTGCCTGCCCTGCTTCAGCAGCTGGGCCAGGAGAACCCACAGCTTCTGCAGGTGCGGCCCTGGGGCTCAGAGGGAGCCAGTGTGGCCAACATCTCCCCTTAGCTGTGGGAACCATAGCCAGAAAGAGCAAGCTTGGCCCAGCACTCTATATAGGCATTCCTCACTGTACTAACAACAGTCCCCTGGAGCTCCCTTTGGCCTGACATTCTAGACTGTTTTATGTAAACTTCCTAATCACCCTGTGAGGGTGTGAGTAGTCATCATCACCCTCATGGAAGAAGACACCAGAGGCTTGGAGCAGCCCAGCAGCTGGTGGAGTGTATGTCTTCCTCCAGCTTTTTGGTCTTGTGCTCTCACTATCTCTCGGCTCCACATAGAGCTGGTGCTTCATACATGTCTTGTCAGTAGGATTTTATTGCAGCACCCAGGATCACTGTGTCCCAGTTGGCTCTGGGTCCTTCATGAAGGCTTGCTTCTCCCCCCAACTTTTATTTTATGCTGGCTTCTGCTTACCTCCTCCAGATGTTGGAAAGCCTAGGCCACACACCTGTTCTTTATCTGCACTAATCTTCCCCATGTTATCCTGAGGCCTTCAGACTGTGGTGACTCTCAAATCTGTGTAACTGTCCCAGACCTCTGGATGCGACGGTTTTCCATGGCTGACTTGATGCCTCCATGGAAGTACTTTCCAGATGTCTTAAGTTTTCTAACAGACCCACCTCCCATCATCTTTCTCTGTCTCCACAAGGACCAGCCTGGGGTTGCCTGAGGCCTAGGCCCTGGGGGCATGCTAGGGTTGTCTGTCACCTGTCATGTCTGCTCCTTTCAGAAACTCTCAGTCTGGCCCTGAACTCTACCTCCATTGCTGGTACCTCATCTCTCACCTGGTTGCCTGGCAGCCAGGCCTCTGTTTCTACACAGCCCTCATGGTCCATTCTCCATTAGGAACGAGAATCCAGAAAATGCACTTTTTTGTTGTTAATCCTCATCCGAGGTATTTTTCTATTGATTTTTAGATAGAGTGGGAGGGAGGGAGAGAGAAACATCGATGTGAGAGACATCGATTGGCTGCCTCCCTTACAACCTTGTTGGGCCAGGGATAGAACTTGCAACCCAGGTATGCACCCTTGACTGGGAATCAAACCTGAGACCCTTCGGTCCGTGGGCCGATGGTCTAACCGCTGAGCCAAACCAGCCAGGGCAAAAAGCACTTTGTTGATGTGAAAATTGTCAGATGTATGTAAAAGTAGATAGTTGTATCAGAACCCCCAGATAGGCAACATCCAGATGAAGTGATATTTTTAAAAGGTACACAGATTTACTTGTCACCACTGTGGGGTCTCATCACACTGGAAGGCAATGGAAGAACGCAGTTCTGATTCCTGCTTTCCTCTCTGATTTTTCTATTTTTTCCCCTTTCCTCTTTCTTGTTTACTTCGTTTTGCCAAATGGATCTTGTTTCTGGGATTTGCCAAATGCATCCCAACCCTTTGGCCTTTGCACTTGCTGTTCTACCTGGAGGAAACTTCCTTCCCTCTTGGTCTAAAATGTCTTTTCTAGCCCAGTGTCTGCCCTACTGTATGCCAGGCCCAGTATTTACATTGTAAAGGTCCATTTCTTGTCTATGACCTGTCTTACCACCCTGCAACATCAGCTCCACCAGGGCAGGGTCTGTTCACCACTGTTGCTATTAGGCCAAAATAGGGACCTTCAAGGTATTTACTGAGTAAATGAAAAACAAGGGCTGTGATAGGCACATGGGGAGGTGGGCCAGAGGCCATGGGTCATGGTCCCTTGCCCTCTCACCCACAGCAAATCAGCCGGCACCAGGAGCAGTTCATCCAGATGCTGAACGAGCCCCCTGGGGAGCTGGCGGACATCTCTGACATTGAGGGTGAGGTGGGTGCCATAGGTGAGGAGGCCCCACAGATGAACTACATCCAGGTGACGCCACAGGAGAAGGAAGCTATAGAGAGGGTAAGAGGCCTGGCTGAGGGGCAACCTTACTGGTGGGTAGGCCCCCACCCCCTGCTTATACCTGCTCATATTCCCACAGTTGAAGGCCTTGGGATTCCCAGAGAGCCTGGTGATCCAGGCCTACTTTGCCTGTGAAAAAAATGAGAACTTGGCTGCCAACTTCCTCCTGAGTCAGAACTTTGATGACGAGTGATGCCAGGAGGCCAGGCTGCCTACTGCCCCCACCCCCACCCCCCAAATCCACAAAAGTTTTATAAAAGAAAAAATATATATATATTCATGTTTATTTAAGAAGTGGAAAAAAGTCAAAAACCTTAAAAAAATTTTTTTCCTACCCTCCTGAAGTGGCTCCCATTCCCATCTTGGCCTGAGAAGACCTGGGCCACACAGTTGTCCCCCATCCCCTGCCCTAGCCCAGCCTGCTCCAAGGAGCTGGCAGGACTGGAAGTGGCAGATGGACCCCTTTTGGCCTCTCTCCCAGCTTCCTACAGCCAGATGGAGAGGCGGCTGCTTGCTTCCCCATCCCCTGAAGAGCCCCTAAGACCTCTCTACCCTTTCAGGGTGGGGAGAAGCTGGAGCCCCAAACTTTGATCCTGTTGAAATGGCCCAAATCTTCCCATCTGGGGTGAGCACAATCTTGCCTTGGCCTCCAGCCTGCATCCCTTCACTGGGGAGGAGTGGCCAGGCTTCTCCTATCTGGGGAAGGGGTAACATCAGAGCTGCTTTAGAGGTCAAGGCCACCCCAGAACAGAACCGTGTCTGATAAAGGTTTTGAAGTGAATAAAGTTTTAAAAATCCATTTTGTGGTCTGTGCCTGCTGGGGCTTCCCACTCCAGCTTCTCTGGCTCGGGGGGCTAGTTGGGCACAGGCAATGTGGGAATGTCAAGGGGCAGCTTGTGCAGATTGGGGCTCCCAGTGTATCCTCCTCCCTCAGAAACTGTCTCATTACCCAGCAGTGGCCCCAGCTCCATCTAGTTCTTGGAAGGGTTTGCTTCTTCCTGCCCCCTACCATCATTACCAGTCTGTTTTGGCTACTTCCCCCCCTGGTAATTACTGGAGATTAATGTCAGTAAACAGAACCCTTCTCCTCTGCCATCTGCTCCTACATTATTTCCCCATTGCATAGCCTGTTCTCTCCTGAAGCATGGCCTAGAGTCCCCCAGTGAGCAGTGCCAGGGAAGGGTGGGGGATTCTCTGGCCCCAGGTGTTGGGGAGGGGTACACTGAGAGGACACTGACAGAGCTCTCCAGCGGTGGGGCGCTTTGGCAGCAGGTTTTATTGAGAAGAAAAGGCTCAGGAGCTAGGTGCCGTGGAGGCTGCAGTGGCAGCTATTGCAGCAGCCCGCGCCTCCTTCTTTTGTCTTTGTTTTTCCTCCTTGAGGCGCTTGCGCTGCTGCTTCTCCAGGTCCTGCAGCAGCTCCTGGAATCGGGCACTCCTTGGGTCCACGTGATAGCCCAGGCGCTCCTGGGCCTCTGCCTGCAGCCGGGCCCGTCGCTCCTTGTCTGCTTTCTCCTTCTCTCTGCGCTCCTGCTGCTGCTGCCTCCAGTTCTCAATCATCTGTGGCATCTTGGCCATGCTCTCTGCAATAAGCTGTTCCCTGCAGGGGAAGGAGGGTGGGTGGTGAGGGAAGTGACACCTAGCCAGAGTAGCACCCATCTACCCTCATCCCACCCTCAAGCCTTTGCCCACATCTTGCTTTCCAAGTCTCCATGGAGGTGAAAACCTGGGAAGATTTATCTTGGCCATTAACTATGAGGAAAAGTCCTTAACTAGTGAAAAAACAGGCAGGAGAGATGAACTAATTTATGTATGACCCTAGAGCATGAGAGAACCAAGGCCCAATAACCTCCAGGAGCAGACCCCAAATTAACATTTCACTGAGCTGTGTCTACTGAGCCATCTGGGTGCCACACACCATGCCAGGCCATTCCCAGACATCACTGACCACCTACTGTAAGTCAGGCCCAGTTCTAGGCACAGGAGTAAAGGCAAGAAATGGATTGAACCTTTCCATCCAATCCTATGGGTTTTTAGATATTAGAGCCCCATTTTAAGAATTAGAAATGTGCCCTGACTAGTTTAGGTCAGCGGTTAGAGCGTTGGCCAGAGGACCAAAGAGTCTTGGGTTTGATTCTGATTGAGGGCATGTACCTCGGTTATAGTTCGATCCCCTTGCCTTGGCTGGGGTCATGCTGGTGGCAATCAGTTGATTAGTCTCGCATCATTGTTTTTTTCTCTCTGTCCCTCCCACTCTAGCTGAAAATCAATGGAAAAATATCCTCGGGTGGGGAGTGGGGAGGGGGGGGGATTAGAAATGTGCCCTGGCTGGTTTCAGCCTGCAGACCCAAGGGTCGAAGGTTCAAGGGCATGTGCCTCAGTTACAGTTTCAATCAATGTATCTCTCTCATCCATGTTTTTCTCCGTGTCTCTTTCTCTACCCCCCTCCCTCCTTCTCTTCCACTCTATCTAAAAATCAATGGCAAGGTATCCTCAGGTGAGGATTAAAAAAAAATTAGAAATGTGAAGCAGGAAGAACTAAGGCAGTGGTTCTCAACCTTCGTAATGCCGCGACCAGGAAGAACTAAAGCAGTGGTTCTCAACCTTCATAATGCCGCGACCCTTTAATACAATTCCTTATGTTGTGGTGACTCCCAACCATAAAATTATTTTTGTTGCTACTTCATAACTAATTTTGCTACTGTTTCGTCTTAGGTGACCCCTGGGGAAAGGTCGTTCGACCCCCAAAGGGGTCACAACCCACAGGTTGAGAACCGCTGAACTAAGCCTCAGGTCAGCGTCATCCAGCTGGGGTGGGGACTGGGGTTCACATCCCATCTTCACTGTTGTCTGGGTGACTTTACTGCCTCAGCTTCATTTCTAAAATGAGGGTGATCCCCCTTTCCCCTAAGAGCTGTTGTGAAGACAAGAACTGTAAACATAAAGTATATGTGGCCTGCTTCCCCAACTTGCCTGTTTTGGCTGGCTCCTCCCTCCAGGTCTTGTCTCCATACTTTGGTTAAGTCTAATCTTTCAAACCTGCTTCTGAGTCTGACCTCTGCTCTTGATTCTAGACCCCATCACTTTCCACTGATTACCAGGGTCTTTGCACTAGCTGTTACCTCTATCCAGAACACTCTCCCTTGTGTGGTCATTCAGGTCTCTGCTTAAACATAAAGTTGAAGTCCCAAACCAAAGCTGCCCTCCGACTGCCCTCTAAACCAAATTTTATCTTCCTAATTAACAATTCTCTCTTGCCATCTGAAATATTTTGTTCCCTGCTGTGTCCTCCACACCTGGGACAAGGCCTTGTACACAGTAGGCGCTCAGTAAAGATTTGCTGATGAATGACTAAATGAACAGTTCAGAACTCTGCTTTGCAGCTAGGTGATCACACACGTATACCTACAGCAATGTAAACTCCGCGATAAGCGCCAGTTTGGGGATACAATTCACCCATCGGGCCGCGAAAGGGGCGACCCCCAGCCCCGACCGCATGCACGCACCTGGCCTTACGCTTCTGTTCCTCGGCTAGCTGCTGCACCCGCACTGAGTCCTGCATGGCCGCCAGGCTTGGGTACCATTCGCTCTCCTCAGCCTCCAGCTCCCGCAACTGTTCCTGCGACGGCCACAGCAAACCGGCAGCCACCCCAGAGGCTGCGCCGTGCCGCGCGAACTGCTTGGCTACATAGCGCGGCCCCAGCTGCCAGCGTGGAGTCAGTGGGTCATCCGGATTCGGCCACCAGGGCCCCGGCGAGTGGCGCGGGGGTGGTGGCGCCCGGTAGGTACGGAAGCCTGGGCCCAGATTTGCCGCTAGCCCGAGCAAGCTGCGTGTCTGCCGCCCGGGTGCCGCCATCTTGGCTGTGCGGGGTCCTCGCGGGCCGCCCGGGCTGACCACGGCGCTGCCTGCGCGCGCAAGGTCACAAGGGGTCGGGCGGAACGAAGAGTATTCCTGCTACCTCAATTCAGGGCAGTGAGACAAGAACTGTGTAAATATATTTTATCCATCTTCAGCTCTAACTTAAAATGTTATTTTAGCCCTGGCCGGTTTGGCTCAGCGGTTAAAGCGTCGGCCTGCGGTCCTGAGAGACCCGGGTTCGGTTCCCGCTAAGGGCATGTACCTTGGTTGCAGTTTGTCCCCGGCTCTGGTCAGTCGTGCGGGTGGCAGCCACTCGATGTGGTCCTTTCACATCGATGTTTCTCTCTCTCTCTCTGGTCCTCTCTCTCCCTTTCACTCTACCTGAACAAAAAAAAAAAAAAAAGGAAAAAATGTTATTTTAGCAGTTGTTTACATTTATTTTAAATTTAAGTATTTAACATTTATTTTAAACAATAATTTGAAAATGTAACACGTTTAACTATTACAACTTTAAATCAGTCTCATGGTATATTTTAAGTATTTAAAATCAAAATTTTGTTAAATATTTCTATATTTTTTAATTAATTAATTAATTTTGGTACGTGCTCCTAGCAGGAATTGAAACTGGGACTCTCTGGTCCGCAGGCGGACCCTCCAACTGCTGAGCCAAACCAGCCCAGGCTATTTCTATATTTTAAACATTTAAATATTGTTCATAATATTAAATATTTATTTTGTTTTTTAATTTGATTTTTTGTATACTTAAAACATTTATCTAGTAGAAAACATACTTTTATTATAAAATCAGGTTTTCTGGAACATACATTTATTTTCACAATTGTAACTCAGTTGTCAAACAGAAACATTTTTCATCTAATTTTACTCTTTTGGAAATATTAAAATACAAAGAATTTTATCAAAATGTTTTCTAAATCCAAGCAAAAAATTAATGATGCCTTAGAACCAGTGCACTACTTGATAGTTAATTTTTATTAAGTGGAAAAGAGACTTGTTATTAAGCAGGTTGCTTTCAGATCAGCAATATCTTTTCTTAGTTCCATAATACTTGGTATATATCCAGCCTGTGGTGCAGGTCCAAGAAAAACTTTTGTTCTAAATAATTATTTAAAACCTTACCTAGACATTTTCTTTCTTTCTTTCTTCTTTCTTTCTTTCTTTCTTTCTTTCTTTCTTTCTTCTTTCTTTCTTTCTTTCTTTCTTTCTTTCTTTCTTTCTTTCTTTCTTTCTTCTTTCTTTCTTTCTTTCTTTCTTTCTCTTTATTGATATTAGATATCGATATTAGAGAGAGAGAGGAGGGAGAGGGAGATATAGAAACATCAGTGAGAGAGAACATCTATTGGCTGCTCCCTGAATGCTCCCCCACTGGGGATTTGGCCCACAACCTGGGCATGTGCCCTGACTGGGAATCGAACCAGGGACCTCTTGATGCATGGCTGCTCAACCACTGAGCTGCACTGGCCGGGCTTGATGTTTATTTTATTTTGTTTATTTATTTTTATTATTATTATTTTTAATCCTCACCTGAGGACATTTTTCCATTTTTTGTTCAGATAGAGTGGGAGGGAGAGAGACGAGGGGGGAGAGAAAGAGAGAGAGAGAGAGAGAGAGAGAGAGAGAAACATTGACGTGAAAGGGACACATCGAGTGCCTGCCTCCCGCATGGCCCTGGTTGGGTTAGGGCCCAGGACAAACTGTAACTAAGGTATGTGCCCTTTGTGGGAACCGAACCCTGGTCTCTCTGGTCTCTCTGATGCTCTAACTGCTGAGCCAAGCTGGCCAGGGCTAGACGTTTATTTTAGATATATATATGTATTTAAAACATCTCTTTAGCCCTGGCGAGTTTGGCTCAGCGGTTAGAACCTCAGGCCCACAGACTGAATGATGGTAGGTTTGATTCCTGATCAAGGGCATGTACCTGGGTGGCAAATTGCAGGTTGCCTCTCCAGCCTGGGTGGGTCCAGGTGGTGTGGAAGGCAACCAATCCGTAGATGTTTTTCTCTCTCTCTCTCTCCCCAACTCTTTCTAAAAAAAATCAGTGGAGCGTGACAGGTGTGGCTTAATGGACTGAGCGGTGTCTCATGGACTGAGAGGTCCTGGTTTGAGTCCCTGTTCAATTCCTGGTCAGGGCACATGCCTGGTTACAGGCTCGATCCCCAGTAGGGAGGCATGCAGGAGGCAGCCAATGGATGTATTTCTTTCACATCGATGTTTCTTTTCATTTTTTTGTTTTTTTTTTAATCCTCATTCGAGGATATTTTTCTATTTATCTTCAGATAGAGTGTGAGGGAGAGAAAGGGAGAGAGAGAGAAACATCGACGTGAGAGGGACACATTGACTGGTTGCCTTCTGAATGACCAGAGCCGGAAACGAACCACAACTGAGGTACATGCCCTTGGCCGGAATCAAGCACAAGACTCATTGGTCCACGGGTCGATGCTCTATCACTGAGCCAAACTGGCCAGGGCTCACATCGCTCTCTCCCCCTTCCTCTTTCTCTAAAGAAATCAATAAAAACATTAAAAAATATATATTTTTTTTCTTTATTAATTTGAGAGAGAGAGGAAGGGAGATGAAGAGAGAGAAACATTAATGAGAGACAACATGTATTGGCCACCTTCTGCATGACCCCCACTGGGGATTGGGCCCACAACCTGGGCATGTGCCCAGACCAGAAATTGAACTGGCGATCTCTTGGTTCATGGGTTGACGCTCAACCACTGAGCCACACCGGCTGGGCTATAATTATTCTTTAAGTCGTAAATAACTATATGTGTTGGTTGCCCACTTTCCTGCGGAAGAGGGAGTCCTGGGTTCAGTTGCGGCCAAGGGCACGTACCTTGGTTGCAGTTTGTCCCTGGCCCCAGTTGGAGTTGTGCAAGTGGCAGCCAATCAATGTGCCTCTCTCACATCGATGTTTCTCTTTCTCTCTCTCTCTCTTCCTCCCACTTTGTCTGAAGATAAAATGTAAAAATATCCTCAGGTGAGGATTAAAAAGAAAGTCTGTGGAAACAATGTACTGTATATATTTTTTAAATTTTTAAAAATTGATTTTAGAGAGAAAGGAAGGGAGAAGGAGAGAGAGATGGGAACATCGATGAGAGAGAACATTGATGGCTGCCTCCTGCATGCCTCACATTGGGTATTGGACCCACAACCTGGGCATGTGCCCTGACTGGGAATTGAACCGGTGACCTCTTGTTGCATAGGTTGATGCTCAACCACTAGGCCCTAACGGCCGGGCACCAGGACTGTCATCTGACAAAACACAAACTCTGTTCCCATTAAACACTAACTCCTCATTCTCCCCTCCCCCAGCCCCTGGCACTCGCCATTCTACTTCCTGTGTCTATGAATTTGACTCCTCTAGGGACCTCATATAAGTGGAATCATACAATATTTGTGTGTCTGTGACTGGTTTATTTCACTTAGCATAATGTCCCCAAGTTCATCCACATTGTAGCATGTTTCAGACTGTCTTTCCTTTGTAAGAGTGAATAATATTACATCATATATATTTACTACATTTTGTTTATCCATTCATTCATTGATGGACATTTTTATTATGCTTCCTCCTTCTTTTGGCCATTATGAATAATGCTGCTATGAACATGGGAACATGGGTGTACAGTGGTTATTTAATGGAAAAAAAGAATAAAAATATTAGATTGTATCACATGTAGTAAGGGTAAGTATTGTTTGGTAAAGCTTTTATTTCAGTCATATGTACATGTTTATATATACTAGTATTCCACTTGCAATTTTATGCTAACCTCTAAACAACCATTTAAAAAATGTTTTTATTGATTTATTTTTTTTTAGAGAGAGAGAGGGAGGGAGAGAGAGATAGAAACATAGATGTGAGAGAAACATTGATCAGCTGCCTCCTGCACACCCCTCACTGGGGATCAAGCCCGAAACCCAGGCATGTGCCCTAACCAGGAATCGAACCGAGACCTCTCAGTCCATGGGAGGACGCTCAATCCACTGAGCCACGCTGGCCGGGCTAAACAACCATTTTTATTATGCTTATGGATTGTGTGGATCAGGAATTTAGAAAGGGCACAGCGGGGATGGCTTGTCTCTGCTTTATGCTGTCTGTAGCCCCAGCTGGGAAGAATTCAGAGTTGAGTGACTTGATGCTAATCCTCCAGAATCATCAGAAGGCATCTTCGTTTGTTCATACCTCATGATTGATGCTGGTTGGAGCCTCAGCGGGGCTATCAGCTGGAATATCTATACAGTGGTCTCTTCACATGGGCCAGTTGGAGCTTCCTCACAACATGGCAGCTGGGTCCCAAGTGAACAAGTCTGAAGAGCAGGCATTTTTATGGCTGAGTCTTGGAAGTCACATGACATTTCTGCTGTATTCTTTTGGTTAAGCCAGTCACAAAGGTGGTCTTGGTTCAAGGGTAAGGGCCAGAGACCTTGCCAATTAAAGAAAAGTCAAGGGCCCTGGCCGGTTTGGCTCAGCGGTTAGAGCGTCAGCCTGTGGTCCTGAGAGACCCGGGTTCGGTTCCCGCTAGGGGCGCGTGCCTCGGTTGCAGTTTGTCCCCGGCCCTGGTCGGTTGTGCGGGTGGCAGCCACTCGATGTGTTCCTTTCACATCGATGTTTCTCTCTCTCTCTCTGTTCCTCTCTTCCTCTCTCTCCCTCCCACTCTACCTGAACAAAAAAAAAAAAGGAAAAAATGTCCTCGGGTGAGGATAAAAAAATAAAATAAAAATAAAGAAAAGTCAAAGTCTCTTTGTTTTTTTGTTTTTTATCCTCACCCGAAGATATTTTTCCATTTTTTGTACAGATAGAGTGGGAGGGAGAGAGAGGAAGGGAGGGAGAAAGAGAAACATCGACGTGAAGGGACACGTTGAGTGGCTGCCACCCGCACGACCAACCAGGGCCAGGGACAAACTGCAACCAAGGTACGTGCCCTTAGCGGGAACTGAACCCGGGTCTCTCCGGACCGCAGGCCAACGCTCTAACCGCTGAGCCAAACTTGCCACAGCCAAAGTCTCTTTGTTAAAACCTATAAATAAAATGTATTTCTTACTGTGCTTAGTGGTAAAAAAAAAAAAGTTTGGCCCTGGCTGGTTTGGCCTAATAGTTAGAGCATCGGCTCATGAACCATAGGGTCTCTGGTTTGATTCCCAGTCAAGGGCACGTACCTGGGTTGCAGGTTCAGTCCCCCAGCCCAGGCAGGGTTGTGCAGGGGACAACCAGTCGATGTGTCTCACATTGATGTTCTCTCTCTCTTCCTCTCTTTCCCTTCCACTCTATCTGAACAAACAAACTATATATATATATATATATATATATATATATATATCCTTGAGTGAGGATTAACAACAACGAAGAGTTTGAAAAAAAAATCTGCTTGATGATGTCTGTGGTATGAATAAACTATAATTATACATTCCATTAGGCTGTTTTGCTGGGTATTTGTTTCCATATTTTTTGTTTTGATTGCAGAAATGATGCTGCAGTGAGCTTTACTGTCTGTGTCCCCATGCGCCCATGGGAAAGTTTTCCTGGAGTTCTCAACAAATCAAAGTCTTTCCTCAGGGTTTGCTGAGGGACAGATGTGGTTGAGGTCTGTGGTTGAGGTCCAGTGAATGAAGCGAATTGAGGGGTGGAGGTGAGGTAAAAAGCATCAGGCAGGAGCCAGCCATGCAGGCATTATAGGACATGATGAAGGTTTCTAGTTTTATTCTAAGGGCAATGGGGAGCCATAGGAAGGTTTTGAGCAGAAGAGTGATGGGTATGATTTAGGATTCTTCTCTGGTTGCTGAGCAGAAAAGACATTGAGTGGGTCAACGTGTATTTTTTATTTTTTGTTAATCCTCATCTGAGGATATTTTTCCATTGATTCTTAGAGAGAGTGGAAGGGAGAGAGGAGGAGAGAGAGAGAGACATCAATGTGAGAGAGACACATCAATTTGTTGCCTCCCAATCGACCCCGACCAGTTCTGGGGACCAAACTTGCAACCCAGGTACGTGCTCTTGACAAGAATTGAACCCAAGACCCTTCAGTCTGTGGGCCAATGCTCTAACCACTGAGCAAACCAGCTAGGACTGAGTGGGTCACCATGTAGAAAAAAAGGAAAACAGTAGGAAATAGAAGGGGCCATGTTGCCATGTGGTTCCTGACCTGCAGGGACTTTGCATTAATTACCTTTGCTATTACCATGCCTAGAACTTTCTCCTAGGATCTTTACATGGTGGGCTTTTTCTTGTCATTCAGGTTTAACTGGGTGGTCACTTTGTATACTCCTTTGATCTAGGAATATGTAAGAAATGAGACAGAGATGGTCCCTGACCTCAAACTGCTCACAGTCTTTGGGTGAGACACACAAGTACTTATAGTGAAGGTGAAAGAGGAAGAAAGTGCCTGGAATGGGGCTGATGGATGGTCAGGCGTGGCACTTCTGAACTGTAGTTTCCTCCCAGATCAGGAAATTTGGGAACCATGCTGAGAAACTCCAACCTGGTGGTTAAGAGAAGCCACTCTGTTGTGAAAGCAGCCTGGATGGAATTTCAGCTGCTGGTTAGGGCTGGGCACACAGCCAGTACCAAATGGTATTGGGAGAGGGGCTTCTGAGGACAGGTCTTAAATTGAGATAAAATTCACATAAAATTAATCATTTTAAAGTGAAAAATTTAGTGGCATTTAGTACATTCACAATGTTGTGCAACCACTACTTCTATCTAATTCTGGAACATTTTCATCACCCCAAAAGGAAACTCCATACCCATTAGCCGTCGCTCCTATTCCCCCTTCCCTTTAGTCCTTGGCAACCACTAATCTACTTTCCATCTCTATGGATTTGCCTATTTTGGACATTTCATATATATGGAATCGTACAATTCATGACTGTGTCTAGATTTTTATTTTTTTAATTCTCACCCCAGGATATATTTTTTCAATTATTTTTATTATTTTTAGATAGAGTGAGGGAAGAAGGGAGAGAGAGAAATTGATGTGAGAGAGACACATCAATTGGTTGCCTCCCACACAATCCTGATGGGGGCCAAGTATTGAACCTGCATCTGAGGTACATGCCCTTGACCAGGAATTGAATCCACGACTCTTCAGTCTGAGGGCCAATGCTCTTCCTGATGCTCTAACCACTGAGCGACTGGCCAGAGCTGTGTCTAGATTCTTTTACTTAGCATGTTTTTGAGGTTCATCCATATGGTAACTAACATGTATCAGTACTTGTTATGGACTGAGTTGTATCCTTTCAAAATTCATGTGTTACAGTGCTAACCCTTGCCCTGGCCGGTTTGGCTCAGCGGTTAAAGCATTGGCCTGCGGTCCTGAGAGACCCAGGTTCGGTTCCCGCTAAGGGCATGTACCTTGGTTGCAGTTTGTCCCCGGCCTTGGTTGGGTCTTGTGGGTGGCAACCACTCGACGTGTCCCTTTCACATCGATGTTTCTCTCTCTCTCCCTCCCACTCTATCTGAACAAAAAATGGAAAAATGTCCTCGGGTGAGGATTAAATAAATAAATAAATAAATAAAGTGCTAACCCTCAGTGCTAAACTCAGAATATGACCATATTTAGAAATAGGGTCTTTAAAGAAGTAATCGAATTAAAATGAGGTCATTAGAGTGGGTCCCAACCCAATATGACTGGTTCCTTATAAAAAAGAGGAGCCTGGCCCAGCCGGTGTGGCTCAGTGGTTGAGCATCAACCCATGCACCAAGAGGTCACCGGTTTGATTCCCAGTCAGGGTACATGCCCAGGTTGTGGGCCAAATCCCCAGTGGGGGGCATGCAGAAGGCAGCCAGTCGATGTTCTCTCTCATCGATGTTTCTATCTTTCCCTCCCTTTCCCTTCTCTCTCTAAAATCAATAAAGAAAAAAGAGGAGCCTGGCTGGTATGGCTCTGTGGATTGAGCACTGTCCCATGGACTGAGAGGTCCTGGTTTGATTCCCATTCAGGGCACATGCTGGGCTCGATCCCTAGCAGGGGGTGTGCAGTAGGCAGCCGATCAATCTTTCTCTCTCACATTGATGTTTCTAGCTCTCTCTAAAAAATCAGTAAAAACATTTTTTTAAAAAAAGATGAGCCCTGGCCGGTTTGGCTCTGCAGTTAGAGCGTTGGCCCTCAGGCCAAAGAGTCCCGGGTTCGATTCTGGCCAAGGGCATGTACCTCGGTTGTGGTTCGTCCCCGGCCCTGGTTGGGATTGTGCAGGTGGCAACCAATTGATGTGTCTCTCTTGCATCGACATTTCTCTCTCTCTCTCTCTCTTTCTCTCTCTCTCTCTCTCTCTCTCTTCCTCTCTCCCTCCCTCTTGCTCTATCTGAAGATAAATGGAAAAATATCTTCAGGTGAGGATTTTTTAAAAAGATGAAATTTGGGCCCTGGCCGGTTTGGCTCAGTGGTTAGAGCGTTAGCCTGCGGTCCGGAGAGACCTGGGTTTGGTTCCTGCTAAGGGCATGTAACTTGGTTGCAGTTTGTCCCCAGCCCTGGTTGGGTCGTGCGGGTGGCAGCCACTCGATGTGTCCCTTTCACGTCGATGTTTCTCTCTCTCTCTCTCTCTTCCTCTCTCTCCTTCCCACTCTAGCTGAACAAAAAATGGAGGAATGTCCTCGGGTGAGGATTAAAAAAAAGATGAAATTTGGGCACAGACACTCACAGAGGAATGACCATGTTTAAAGACACAGGGAGAAGATGGCCATCTACAAGCCAAGGAGAGAAGCCTCAGAAGAAACTGACCTTGCTGTCACCTTGATCTTGGACTTCCAGCCTCTAGAGCTGCTGTGAGACAATAAATTTCTGTTGATAAAGCCCCCAGTCTTTATTCTGTTGTTAAAGTTCCTGGGTATTTTATTAGGGCAGCCCTAGCAAATTAATATAGTATTTCATTGATTTTATAGCTGAATGATGTTCCGTTGGAGGAAATTATTATTATTATTTTTTTGTAATCAAAGATGGAAAAGAATCTAAATATCCAAGAATAGAAGACTTGTTAAAGAAATAACTGAATATTCATAGGATGGAGTACTATGCAGACGTTAAAAAAAGAATAAGGCTCTATTTATGTCATGGTTCTCAAAGTGTGGTCACCAGGCCAGCAGCATCAACATCACCTGGGAACTTGTTAGAAATGCAAGTTCTTGCCCTGGCCGGTTTGGCTCAGCGGTTAGAGCGTCCGCCTGCGGTCCGGAGAGACCTGGGTTCGGTTCCCGCTAAGGGCATGTACCTTGGTTGCAGTTTGTCCCCGGCCCTGGTTGGTCGTGCGGGTGGCAGCCACTCGATGTGTCCCTTTCACATCGATGTTTCCCTCTCTCTCTCTTCCTCTCTCTCCCTCCCACTCTGTCTGTGCAAAAAATGGAAAAGTGTCCTCGAATGAGGATTAAAAAAAAAAAAAGAAAAGAAATGCAAGTTCTCAGGCTCCATCACAGAATCAGATGCTCTGGGGGTGGGGTCCTCTGTGTGGGAGCCCTCCAGGTGACATTGATGCAGGCTCAAATTTGAGACCTACTGCTATATATAACGATATAGCCCAGGGGTTCAAAGCAGCCCTGGGTTACTTTTTAAAAACACTAGTGCATGGGGCCCATCCCCAGAGATTCCAGCATAATTGATCTGGAGCAGGGTCTGGGCAGCAATTTCCTACTTAGAATGTGCAGCCAGGGATGGGAACCACTGATACGGAGTAAGTGTGAAAAGCCAGGTGGAAAAGAGTCATGTTTCAGAATGTTCTTTGCAGGAATGTGATAGTTAAAATTTGGATAATGGAGAAAGAAAAGTGGGGTATGTGTGTGCAGTAGAATACTCTTCAGCAGTGAAAAGGCTGGAACAAGAAATAGAACGCAGGTGAAAGTTAAAGAATCTACATTATGATACCGTGCATATTATGTTTAAAACACACAAAACAACTTTTTATGTATCTTTTGTGAATGTATACCTATGTAGTAAAACTATGAATACAGCCTGGGGAATTATAACTGGCAAATTCAGGGATTAGGGCTAAGTATAGATCACATTTCTCTCATATCTGTAATCTTTTACTTTATTTATTTGTTTGTTTTTGTTCATTCTCACCCGAGAATATTTTTCTATTGATTTTTTTGTTGTTGTTCAGATAGAGTGGGAGGGAGAGAGAGGAAGAGAGAGAGAGAGAAACATTGACGTGAAAGGGACACATCAAGTGGCTGCCACCCGCACGACCAAACAAGGGCTGGGGACAAACTGCAACCGAGGTACATGCCCTTAGCAGGAACCGAACCCAGGTCTCTCTGGACCGCAGACCGATGCTCTAACCGCTGAGCCAAACTGGCCAGGGCTTTCCATTGATTTTTAGATAGCGTGGAAAGGAGGGGAAGGAGAGAGAGAAACATTGATGTGAGAGAGACACATCGATTGGTTGCCTTTCACATGACCATGACCAGGGCCTGGGATTGAACCTACAACCCAGGTATGTGCCCTTGACTGGTAATTGAACCCCAGTCCCTTTGGTCTGTGGGCTGATGCTCTATTGCTAAACCAAACCAGACAGGGCTATTTATTTATTTTTAATATGTTTTTGTTGATTTTTCAGAGAGAGAGAGAGAGAAACACAGATGTGAGAGAAACATTGATCAGTTGTCTCCTGTATGCTCCCCAACCGAGGATCGAACCCAGGTTGTGGGTATGTGCCCTGCCCAGGAATCAAACCTGTGACACTTTGGTGCATGGGAGGATGCTCAACTAACTGAGCCACTCTGGCCAGGGCTCATATCTCTAATCTTTTATTTTTATTTATTTATTGTTTGTTTGTTTTGTTGTTGTTGTCATTTTTGTTTTTTATCCTCACTCCAGGACATTTTTGCATTTATCTTCAGATAGAGTTGGAGGGAGAAAGGAAATATGAGAGAGAGAGAAACATCAATGTGAGAGAAACACATTGACTGGTTGCCATCCATACAACCCCAACTGGGCTGGGGACAAACTGCAACCGAGGTACGTGCCCTTAGCGGGAACCAAACCCAGGTTTCTCTGATCCGCAGGCCAACACTCTAACCGCTGAGCCAAACTGGCCAGGGCTTTATTTTGATTTTTTATATATAGTTTTTATTTAAGTAGAGTTGGTATACAATCTTATTTTGGAGAATATATATATATATATATATATATATATATATATATATCTCCATCCTCACCCGAGGATATTTTTTTTCCATTTATCATCAAATAGAGTGGGAGGGAGGGAGAGAGAGAGAAACATTGACGTGAAAGGGACACATTGAGTGGCTGCCACCCGCATGACCAACCAGGGCCGGGGACAAACCACAACCGAGGTATGCAGGCCGAAGCCCCAACCACTGAGCCAAACTGGCCAGGGCCCAAAATTATTTTTTTCTTCATTGATTTTAGAGAGAGAGGGAGGGAGAGGAAGGGAGAGATAGAAACATTGATTAGAGAGAACATTGATTGGCTGCCTCCTGCATACTCTCCACTGGGGATTTAGCCCACAACCTGGGCATGTGCCCTGACCAGGAATTGAACGGGCGACCTCTTAGTGCATGAATTAATGCTCAACCACTGAGCCACACTGGCTGGGCTTTTTTTTTTTTAAGAAAATATTTTTGTGGCCCTGGCCAGTTTGGCTCAGCGGTTGGAGCATCGGCCTGTGGACCAGAGAGCCCTGGGTTTGGTTCCTGCTAAGGGCACGTACCAAAAAAAGATATATATATTGTGTGTGTGTGTATCCCCTCCCATTGACCTCCTCCTTCCCACTCCCACCCTCCTCCTGCTTTCCCCAAACTATTTTCTGTGTCCACTGGTTATGTATATATGCATATAAGTTCTTTGGTTTATCTCTTCCCACCCTCTAACCCCCTTCCCTCTGAGGTTTGTCAGTCTGTTCCCTACTTCCATGTCTCTGGATCTGTTTTGATCCTCAGCTTATTTTGTTCATTATATTCCATAAATAAGTGAGATAATGTGGTACTAGTCTTTCTCTTACTGGCTTATTTAGGTTAGCATAATACTCTCCAGGTCCCTTCATGACATCTCAAAGGGTAAGAGATCTTTCTTTTGCCCTGGCTGGTTTAGCTCAGTGATTAGAGTGTCTGCCTGCAGACCAGAGGGCCTGGGTTCGGTTTTTGCTAAGGGACATACCTCGACTGCAGTTTGTCCCTGGCCCTGGTTGGGGTCATGTGGGTGGCAACGACTCAATGTGTCTCTCTCACATTGATGTTTCTCTCTCTGTTCTTCCTTCTCTCCCTCCCGCTCCATCTGAAGGTAAATGCAAAATTATCCTCAAATGAGGATTAAAAAAAAAAAATCTTTCTTACAGCTGCATAGTATTCCATTGTGTAACTGTCAAACTATGAATATTCAAGCCACAGTTTTTTTATCCACTCATTTACTGATGGACACTTGGGTTGTTTCCAGATCTTAGCTATTGTAAATAGTGCTGCTATGAACATAGGTGTGCATATATTCTTTTTGATTGGTGTTTCAGGCTTATTAGAATATATTCATAGAAGTGGAATCACTAGGTAAAATGGCAGTTATATTTTAAATTTTTTGAGGAAACACTGTATTATTTATTTATTTATTTATTTATTTATTTATTTTTGGTACATGCCCTTAGCGGGAACTGAACCCAGGACTCTCTGGTCCGCAGGCCAACGCTCTAACCGCTGAACCAAACTGGCCAGGGCAACACTGTATTATTTTCCATAGTGGCTGCACCAGTTTGCATTCCCACCAGCAGTGTTAATCTTTTATTTCTTAATTGGGGTAACGAGTACAGCGGGTTTTGTTATTTTTGTTGTTGTTGTTATATATATGTAAATCCTCCCTTAGAATATGTTTTTCATTGATTCTAGAGAGAGGAGGGGAGGGGGAGAGAGAAACATTGATGTGAGAGGGAAACAGCCATCGGTTGCCTCCGGTATGTGCCCTACAGGGGATTGAACCAGCAACCCTCGGGTGTGCCAGGCAATGCTCCAACCTAGCCACACAGGGCAGGGATTTTTGTTATATTTTTGGGCACACTTAATTGAATGCCCAAAATACTTCACTTAAAGAGCAAGGGGCTGCCCTGGCCAGGTAGCTCAGTTGGTTAGAGTGCCCTCCCATACGCTGAGGTTGCAGGTTCCATCTCCCGTCAGGGCACATACAAGAAGCAACCAATAGCCCTGGCCGGTTTGGCTCAGCGGTTAGAGCGTCGGCCTGCGGTCCGGAGAGACCCGGGTTCGGTTCCCGCTAAGGGCACGTACCTCGGTTGCAGTTTGTCCCCGGCCCTGGTTGGTCGTGCGGGTGGCAGCCACTCGATGTGTCCCTTTCACGTCAATGTTTCTCTCTCTTCCTCTCTCTCCCTCCCACTCTATCTGTACAAAAAATGGAAAAATGTCCTCAGGTGAGGATGAAAAAAAAAAAAAGCAACCAATGAATGCATAAATAAGTGGAACAAAAAATCAATGTTTCTCTCTCTCCCACTTCCTGTCTCTCTAGTGTCAATAACAAGAACAACAAAGAGCAAGGGGCAGAAAAAAGGTATAAATTGCCTTAATTTCTTTTCTTTTTTTTTTTTTCTTTCACTTTTACAAGTTTCTTTTTTTTTTTTTTTTTGCATGGTTGAAACAGTTTTTAAACTCTAAAGTAAAGCTACCCCCTTCAGCCCCCCCAGTCTCATCCACCCATTTTCATGCGTCTTTCCAACAGGAAAATCTTGCTGGTTTTTCCCAGTATTCAAATACAAATAAATTGTAGCTGTATGTTCTTACTCCCCTCCCCCAAAAGGTCAGGTCATAATAGACACCCTGTTCTGAAGTGTTTTTAACTTCTTCTCCTCTTTCTCCTTCTTTCTTCTCCTTCTCCTTCTCCTCCTTCTCCTTCTCCTTCTCCTCCTTCTCTTTTTCCTTCTTCTTCTCTGTATCTTTTCATGTTAAAACTGTAAGAGCGTGTGCAGCCCGGTACAGATATGCAGTATTATGGACTTATGCCTGGTGAGTCGGGGAAATAGCGAGGAGGCCCAGGTGGCTTGAGGGGAAGAGAGTGAGGAGAGTCATGGGTGAAGAGGTTATGGGAGCCGACAGTACCAGCCCTGGTGGGCTGCAGTGAGGACTTTGGCTGTTACTCTGGATAAGGTGGCAGCCCTGGAGGGTTCTGAGCAGAAGAGGGACGTGCCCGGCCTCAGGGCACCCTCTGCCGGCTGTAGGGGGAACAGACTCTGTGGGCGGGAGCTGGGGGACCAGAATGGAGATACTATACTGGTTCAGGTGGGAGATAATAGAGGCCGTGTCCGGGTTGAGGACGGAAGAGGGAGTAAGAAATGGGTGGATTCTGGGTGGATTTTGAAGCGGACAGGACTTTCTGTCACGTCATATTGGGGAAGGGTGGGCTCAGAGAAAGTGAGGGGTCAAGGATGCTCCAAAGTTTGGGGCCTTAGCTCCTGGCAGGATGGAACTGCTGTTAGCTGGGTCTAGAGGACCTCGTTAAGATAGGACCTCAGGTGCCGCGGAAGTCGGGCCCGCAGTACTGAGAACCACCGCCAGAGGGCGAACCGGCCCCATAGCCTGAGCAGCCCTTGGGGCGCGGGAAGGACCCGCCCTGCCGCTTCCCACGGCCCCGCGGCCTGCAGTGCCTCACCTGGGTGCGAAATGTGGGCCTCAGAGGTGCCAGGGCCCGGCCGGGACTCCCCGGCGCTCTCGGGGCCCCAAAGCCTATGTGCTTCAGGCACTCCAACCTCCACTCCCCACCAGGCTGTTTGCCTTTGGCACTATCTCAGGACTCTGCAAAAATGTCACCTCCCTAGGAGGCCGTCCTTCTGACCACCTTGGGGGCAGAAGCCCCTCCCCCCTCAAGACACCTGTAAGGCACAGCCCTTTTTAATATCTTCTTAATGTTTAAGACTCTAAAATCATTTAATTTATCTTGTATTGTTTGTTTTCTGCACTACAATGTAAGGACCCATTTTCTGTTTTGTCCACCTGTATCCCCAGGGCTCAGAATTATGCTTGGCCTCTAACAGGTGATAAAGAAAAACCAATTGCAATAATGTTAATTATAGCTTACTCACAGTACTACTGTGTACCAGTTTCTTTTTTAAACTCCTTACAGTCCTGGCCAGTTTGGCTCAGTGGTTGGAGCATCGGCCTGCAGACCAGAGAGTCCTGGGTTTGGTTCCCGCTAGGGGCACGTACTAAAAAAAAAACAAAAAAAAAACACCCCACTAATAAATAAACTCCTTACATAAATTATCTCTTTAAGCTCTCAGAGCAACCTTACCAGGTAGGGACTGTTATTATCTCCATAGTTCAGAGGAGGAAGCTGAGGCCCAGAGTGGTTAAGGGACTTGACCAAGGTTGCACAGCCAGGAAATTGCAATGTGGGGATTAAAACCTGAGTAGCTTAACTGCAAAGTCTGGTTTTGCTAAATGGATGAATGGGGCCCAAAACCAGGTACAGAGCCCTCAAGGACTCTGGCATTGTGCCCCTGTCTCTAGACCTGCCTTTCCTGGTCCCTCAGCCCACACACCAGCAGCCCCTGCCCCCAGGTCCCCTGCCATGCTGGGGGGAGGAGTGGGAACACAGCAGGTCTGGGTTTACTCTGGAGTTTGCAGAGGCGACTCCAAAGCTGCCCAAGTGGGGGGCAGGCCATTAAAAGTAGGTTTGATGGGCATAGACTCCATTCACCAGACAGCAGGGTCAACTGCTCAGGACCCTGAGCCCAGTCTCAGACAACCAAACATGATCCTCGGCCAGCTGACCACAATTCTGAGCCTGCTCTGTGGAGCCTGGCTACCCACAGGCTTGGGGAAGCCTGGATCCCAGGGTCCCCCACCCCAGCCCAGGGTTGCCACCAATCAGACTCTAACTCTGGGCCTAGGGGCCCAGGCCTCCCTGGTGCCATCTTCTGCCTTCAGCAGCTGGAAGGCCTTCTTGAACCTGCAGAAAAATGGGCATATGCAGATAGGTGGGCTGCAGCATGGGCAGGAGGTGGCCGCCACCATGACTCTCCCACTGGACCCACAAGAAGTGGCCCAGGAGATGTGCAAGGCTGTGCCCTTTACTCAGGTGAGCATGTGTGTGGGGGAAGGAGAGGGCTGGGCTTTAGCATTGACAGAGAGCATGGGCTGTGGCGCCAGATTTGGAATCAAACCCTGCATCCTTTATCTATCTCTGATCCTGTTTCCTCCCTTATAAAATGGGGGTTGTCTTTCCCATCACTGCCAAAGCAGTTTCCCCTATCCTGGTCTCCCAGCTTCTGCTATCACCACCCTGTCCCCAAGTCTGTTTCCATTTAATGGCCACATGCACCTGTGAGCTCCTGAGTCAGGTCATATCTCTTTGCTCAGAACTCTCCATGACTCCTACCTCACCCAGAGCAAAAGCCCACGTTTTTCCGGCAGCCCACAAGGGTCCTGCTTCATTTGCCTGTTCCCTCCCTGCTGTTACCTCCTCCCAGCTCCCCCTTGCCCACTATGCTCCTGCCACACCTGCCTCCTTACTTTTCCCCAGACGCACCAACGTTATATACTACTGGCTGTTCTTTTGCCTATAACACCTCCCCCCACCCTGACATTCTATGGCTCCTTCTTTTGCCTCCTTCAGATTTTTACTCAAACTCTGTTTAAAAATGCAGCACCTCCCACCCCATTCCCCCCTTTTCTGCTTTCTTTCTTTAGAGAGAGAGGAAGGGAGAGGGAGAGAGAGATAGAAACATCGATGAGAGAGAACATCGATTGGCCGCCTCCTGCATACCCCTCACTGGGGATTTGGCTCACAACCTGGGCATGTGCCCTGACCAAAAAGCAAACCAGCAACCTCTTGGTGCATGGGTCAATGCTCAACCACTGAGCCACACCGGCTGGGCTCTTTATTTCTTATTGTAGTACACATCATCACCTAAAAAGTGAAATTGATTCTATAATTGCATTTATCATCTGTCTTCCTCAGTAGAATGTGTATTCCACCAGGGCAGGAATATTTATGCCTTATTCACTCTGTGTCCCTATCCCCAGGCTGCAGAGCAGAGCCAGGCACATGGGAGGAACTCAGTGTTTGCTGAATGATGAACAATAGTAGCACCTGCCTGCTAAGCACTTTTGGCCAGCCTGAATGAGAGGAATATGGGCAGCACCTTCATAGTTGCATTCAGTTGGTGCTCCATAATGGCTGTAGGAATTCATGCCATGTGTTGTTTCTGGCCCAGGCTTTGAAGCCAGGTGTACCAAAGTCTGCCTTAATGTTGATTTCTTTGTAACTCAGAGCAAGAGGCTGGGGTGGCTGGGGCAGAGCAAGGGGGAGGGGGAGGAGAGGGTGGAAGATGAGGTTATGGGAAGAGGGGCAGAGGAGGGAGTGCAGAGTTTAATCAGAGAAGGGTCCTGATCAGGGGGTGAGTTGGTAGATTCACTTAGTTGGAGGGGATCATAGAAGGAACTATCATTTATTTATTTTAATGTTTTTATTGATTTTTTAGAGAAAGGAAGGAAAAGAGAGAGAGAAACATCTATGTGTGATAGAAACATCTATCAGCTGCCTCCTGCACGCCCCCCACTGGGGACTGAGCCCACAACCTGGGTATGTGCCCTGACCGGGAGTCGAACCCAGACCTCTCAGTTCATGGGACAATGCTCAATCCATTGAGACACACTGGCTGGGCAGGAATTAATATTTATTGAGCACTGACTGTGTGCTAGGTAATAGGCCTAGGCTTTCTGTGTAACTCCCAGGCTCCTGTAATGTCACCACTTCCTGCTGTTCCTCCCCCTTCCTCTCTATTAATCCTCTCTGTTGAAAGACCTAGAGTGGTTTCTTTTTTTCCTGGTTGAACTTCGATGATTTCACAGAAACTGAGGCCCAGAGAGGTGAATAACTTACCCCAAGTCACACAGCGAGCAAATGGCAGAGTCAGGACTTGAGCCCAGGCATCCATGCTTCTCAAGGTGGGGTGGAAATGGAAGGGGAGTTATTCTCATTAGTCTGACCTCAGACTTTACTGTTCTTGACCTGTCTCCCTGCCTCTGGCCCCAGGTGCTCTCCCAGCCAGGATGCATGGCCATGCGCCTCCGTAATCACCTCTGTTTTGGCTACTGCTCCTCATTCTTCATCCCTGGTGTGGACCCTGCCTCGCTTGTCCTCTGCAACAGCTGTGTGCCCACTCGAAGGCACTGGGTACCCGTGTTCCTGTGGTGTCGGGTGGGCAGCCCAGTCTCTCGTCGGCGGGTGAGGACATCGACAGTGCTGGTTGAGAGGTGTCAGTGCAGCCCGAAGGCATGAGCTGAGCATCTTCGACTGACACATAGACACATGCACCTTGGAGAGATGTGGGGAGTCAGAAAGACGCGGACCTGGATTATGTACACTGGGTCAAAGAGACCAGGGATGCAGGGAAAGCCAGATAGGCCTCCCGAGTCCTCACCCTGCTCCCATGGACACCAGACATAGCCCCAGCCATGAGGTGGACCACTCAGAGTCAGCACACACTTTTTGAGCACTCACTGTTGGCCAGGCCCAGCTCTAAGCATTTGACATGTATGTACTTGTGTCATCCTCAGAGCTGCCCAATAACATAGAAGTAGCACTTCACTTTACAGGGAAGGAAACTGAGGCCTCAAGAGGTAAAGACACTCACTCAGGGTCACATAGCAGTATGGGGTAGAGCCAGCATTTGAACCCAAGGCAGTGTGGTGCTCACTTTTAATCACCAGGCTGGACCTCCTCTTATGGAATAAGTCAAAGACACACTGCCAACTGCAGGGAGAACAGATGGCCCCACCCAGCCCAATAGATACAGTGACAACCCTGGCCTGGGGACCCCAAGAAACCAAGGCAGGAAGGCAGACATAGCTACTGGGGAAAACCTGGGTTCCCCAAGTCAGAGGCAGAACCCACGTGCTCCAGCTGCCCCCTCCCAGTCTCCACCCAGCCCCATGCCTACTGTGGCATTCTACAGAAACCATAAAGGTTGACCGAACCCAGTTGTGCATATATGTGTGTATGTGTGTGTTTGTTTCTCCAACTGGAGTTCCCTGGGAATGAGTGGTCCTGTGGAATGTGGGCATGGGGGGGTGCTTCCTCCTCAGTTGGGTGCAGGGTCTGCAGTGGACATGGGAGGCCTGGATTTGGGCGTCTGGAATCAGGGCCCTAGCAGATGGGCCCGTCTGGCACAGACACAGGGACATGTGGCGCTGTCAGGGTTGCCTCCAAATGCTCCCCGGAGCGCAGGGCGGGTGTTGGGGGGGGACTGGGGCCCCCCTCAGCCCTCTTCCTGCCTCAGGAAGGAAGGCCCCAGGTGAGGGGAACAGGAGGAGGGGACCCGAGGAAACAGATGGGCTAGTGGGGCGTGAGAGCCCATGACCTCTGACCCCACAGGCAAGCACAGAGGGGTGGGAACAGGCCAGGCAGGCAGCTCTCAATACCCTGCTCCAAGGGCCTGGGATGGGGGGGTCATGAGTGGCCCATGGGGGAGGGGTGTGCTCTTCCTCCTCTCTCTAGGGTTCTGTGCCAAACCTCAGGCAGAGTCCGAGTGGGTAGCTCAGCCTTGGCACCATGGGCACCCCTCTCTCTGGCAGGCATATGAGGCGCCTGCTTCCACCCCCTTTCAGCTGTGCCCACCTCCTGCCAGCCGGGGAGCCAGCTGGGAACCTTGGTGCCAGCCCCCCCCCACATCCCTGCCCCCTCCTGGGCAGTGCCAACTGGCCCCCACCCCCACTCCCCAGGACCATTAATGGGTGGGTAATGAGTGCTAGGGGAGTGGGGGAGGGGCAGGGATGCAGGTGCCACAGGCGCTGGCACAGGGGCTGCTAATCAGGTTTGCCAACGCCATCTGTCACTGCGTGAGCATCTGGGGCTCAAGGTGACCCTGTCACCCTCAGTTACAATTATGAGTTTGGCATCTGTATTAAAGCCCGCCAGCCGGCCAGGAGGGGGAGGGCTGGGGTGGCCATGGGGGTGCATGGCGAGCCCTGTCCCGAGGGTCCCATTCCCAGGGGCTATGTGGCTGCCAAGGCATGGAGCTTCTCCCTGCTTAGAGGAGTTTGTGTGTGTGTTTGTACATGTGTGCCAGCCTGCACAATTCTTTGAGCATGTCTGGGTGCAGGATTGGGAGTCTGGGTTTTTGAGCATCTCTGGGTGTGGTGGCTATGCATCCGAGTTTGGTGCAATGGCTGGGGATGGGGGACAGTTCTGAGATCGTGTGGGTACACAGATGAGTGTGTGTCTGTGTGCTGGGAGAGGAGTGAATGGTAGATCTAGGTGTCTGGGTGATGGTGTATGTCAGGATGTATGTGTGATGTGTGTGTGTGTGTGTGTGTGTGCATTTGAGAGTGTGTGGTACTGTACATCTGATGGTCTCAGGCTGGCTATATATATTTGGTCATGTGGGTTTGTGTGTGAGATTCTGTTGAAATATATTTGTGTGTGCATGTGTGTGTGTACTTGTGTATAAACACAGGAGAGCAACTGCTTGAAGAGGCTCTGTGTGGTCACTGTGGGGCTTCTCTCCTGCCACTTTAGTCTGTTCCTGCCCTCACCAACCCCTGCTGCCCTGCTCTAATCTGGGGGCTTGTGGAAGGTAGGGGGCTGGCTCTGGGGAGGGCTCTGGGCTCTAGGTTTTTGTATCTGAATTCAGGGTCCTCAATTTTATATTCTGAGGACAGGACCCAGGACCGATACATTTGGATTTTGGATTCTGGGCACTTAGACCTGGGTTTTGTTTTATTTTTTTCTCACTTAAAAATAATTTTTATTGTTGAAAGAATTACAGATGTCCCCTCTTTTCCCTTCATTGACACCCCTTCCCACTCCTGGCCCTCCTCTTCACCAAATTGTTGTCTGTGTCCTTTGGTTATGCATATATGCATATAGGTTCTTTGGTGTATCTCTCCCCCCCAACTCCCTTCCCTTTGAGGTTTGTCGGTCTGTTCCCTACTTTCATGTTTCTGGATCTGTTTTGTTTGTCAAATTATTTTGTTCATTATATTTCACAAATAAGTAAGATCATGTGATACTTGTCTTTCTCTGACTGACATTTTTCTTAGCATAATACTCTCCAGATTTTAGATTCTGGGTCTCTAGTTCTTGGGTCTAGATTATAGATCTTGGTATCTTGGAATCTAGATTCAGATTCTGGATTCTAGGATCTGGAATTCAGGCTCTGAATTCTGGCTTTGGATTTTGGCTTCCAGACCCTAGCTTCCGATTTTTAGGATCTGGGTGCTGAGCCTGGGCCTGTCCTCTCTGCCCTTCTATTCACCTTAGGCCAACTGGGCTCTCCACCCGGCCTCCTCCCTACCACTTCACCCAATGGGTGCAGAGACCACAGATGGCCACCAGGGGACACCCTTGGTCCAGATTTGGGCCCAGATGACCCAAACGTGGAGGAGTTGGGGACCACCCTGGCCTGGCTTGACCCAGCCCTTTGAAGGGGTAGGTGGTGCTTCACCTCCCTCCCTTCCCCTTCTTATCTGGGCTGGACTGATGCCTGTCAAACATGGAGAACTGGATCAGCATTCCCACAGATCCCCTAACCTGGGCTGAGGGCCAGAGCACCAAGTCACTGGTTCAAGCACAGGGTGGAAAGAGTGTATGTACCATGGGACATTACCAAAGAGTTTGCAGGTGTGAGAGTGCTTCGTGTATCTTGAGTAGCCACATACGGCAGTGTTCTGTGAAGTGAGCCCTTGTGGTGTGTGGCCATGTGTGACTGGGAGCATGTGTCTGGCAGGGCCCTTTAGGGCCGTATCTATAACTGTGTCACTCTGGTGTGAGGTAGAAGTCCCCATCATATGGGTGTGTCTGACTGATCATGACTGTGTCACTGGGTATCTGTGGGTGTATCTGCAGGTGTCACTGGGTCCATGAAAGTGTCTCAGAGTGTCTGGGGTGGTGTCCCTAAGACTAGGTCCCTATGTTGATGGTGTCTTATCAGTGAGTGTATGATGTGTAGGATAGAGGTGTGCCTTCTAAGAGTATCAAATTGGGGGAGGCATGTTGTCCAAAGGGGAGTGGAGGGAGGACTGGGGTCGGTGGGACCAGAGACCCTAGGAGCACTCTTCATTCTCTTCCTGGTATCTCTGACTTTCGGTCTTGCTGGGTCTCCTCCCATCTCTGTGTCTCTGACTTTGTCTTGGGGTCCTGATCTCTACCTGATCCAGTTACCAGGCATAGTGGGCTCCATGGTTATTGGCTGGCTGGTCCTGCCCTGTCTTCCAATCCAGACCTTCGTCTTCCATCTCAGTCCCCGGCTCTGCCTCTCCTTGGTTCTGTCCCTCTGTCTGTCCGTCCTCATTGGTGCATTTCTCTCCCTCTCCTAGGTCTCTCCCATCTTTCTGTCTCTCCCTGTCTCTGTTTCTCTCTTGGCTTCTAAGTGTGTTTCTTTCCTCATCTACAGCTCTGTCTGTCCCCATCTCTTGTCTCTCCCTCGTCTCTCTCCATCTTTGTCTCTCCCCACCTCTGTCTCTTTCTTTCTCTGCCGGCCGGCCGGGTGGGTTCGGGTGGATCCGGGACAGCCCGCCCGGGCGCCGGGCGCCCGGGCGAACAATGCCCCATTCACGCGGCCCTCCGGTGCCATGGCAACGCTCCCGCCCCGCCCTCCCCGCCCTTGCAGCGCGTGCCAAGAGGATACCATGGTTACGTCAGGCGCGTGCCCGCCCCGCGCGCTGCCTCCCCGTGCGCTCTTAGAGGGGCCAGGCCGGCAGGGGGCGCCCGGCTTCAGCCTCTGCCCTGAGTCAGGAGGGGCATCTTCCTTCAAGGGGCTTTCAGCCATTCAGTGCCTCAGTTTCCCCTTCTGTAAACGGTCAGGGGCGGGCAGAATGAGATCGCAGTGTGTGTGTGTGTGATGGTGGGTGAAGGTGCTCTTTAGGGTGGTTATGTGTGAGTATATTTGCGTCAGTGGGAATGTGTGCCAATTTGTGGGTCAGTGTTTGTATACGTGTGTGGGTGTTTTATGAAAAGTGGTTGGTTCTAGTTTGAGGGTGACTGTATGCCTGTGTGTTTGGAAATGTGTGTGTGCCTATGTATAATGGTGTCTGTGTAGTTTGGGTATGATGGTATATGTGTGTCTATGGTTATGTGCCCTGTTGTTTGTGTGCCCTTGTGTTTGCATGCCTGGGGTGTGTGTGCTTGTGTGCTTGTGAGTTCATGTGACTGTGTGTTCATTTTGCATACTAAGGGGTGGGTGTGAGAGAAACAGAGAGAGAGAGATGGATGTCTGTGGTTTGGGTGTGATTATGTGTTTGTGGTTGTGAATTCATTTGATTGTATGCATGTGTTTGTATACCGTGTGTGTGTGTGTGTGTGTGTGTGTGTGTGTGTGTGAGATGTGTGATGGTGGATGACTGTGTTTTGAGGTGTGGTTGTGTTTGTAACTTGTTTGTGTGTCTAGGAGTGTCTATGTTCACACACTCATGTGTGCTTATATGTGAAACTGGGAGCAGGTTCAGAGGACTGCTGGGGCCTGGCTGAGCCCCTCCTCACTTGAGGGCCTCTTGGCACAGAAGGGGGTGCCCAGCTGCCTGGGACCTCCAACTCCCCACAGGTTCAGGAGAGCCTCATCTGATGAATATTCATGAGGTGGGGGCTGGCACCCACTGCTGACAGCTGCATATCCATTAGCAACTCCCCCCACTCTCCATGCACTGACTGCAGCTGGGAGGGGGTGTCAGTGTAGGCCTTTCCCTGTCTCCACAACTGGGGGACTAGGGGTGTCCTAGTGACTATTGTGGAGGCCATGTTAGCATGCCTGACTGCCTGTTGGGACAACTAATGGGCTGTCTCAATGTTGTGACAGGCACTAGGGAGAGCGCCTGTTGTATGACAGGATGTACTTGTAATGGTGGTGTGGCTGTCACCCGTTGTGTCTTTGTAGCTCTGTCCGGGGACTATGGATGTTGTGTGGCATTGTGAGATGTGTGCCT